ACAGGACAGGTCTGACTCTCCGACGTCACTCCATTTCAATAGACGTCACTCAGAGGTTCTTTGCAAACTAGTCGTTTATACATTTTGTTTATAAACGGGTTCGCATCGTCGGAAATACGTAATAATCCTTATTTATCGTTTATCGAACTTAAGTAAGCGTTACATATGATATCGTGTCATTTGGTTTGTTATTAACAAATTTGTTGTCCCTCCACATTATTGTAGAAACAGCTTCTTATATCCATTAGCGCAGCAGAAGCTAAAAACAATCCCCGCCGGTACCGGTGCACCCCCTCTCTCTATCTCTCTCACTTTGGCTGTGAGCTGCGGGCGCCTGATAAGCCAACATCCCCACTTTCATCACTACAGCGCCCATCGTACGGGGCAAATGGAAAATGTAACCGCGGTGAAAAGGGTGTTATCTTTACTTAATTATGAATGTTGTTACATCAAGGCTGAAAATTCGTTTTTTTTGTATTATATTTGTATTATATCTTGTGGAAGTGCAGATCCCCTGTCCTCCACCAGGGGGTGCTGCAGTACCCTCAGCACCCCTACTTCCCACGGCCCTGATTGCAGACATGTAATAGGTCAGAGAGAATCGTCACAGCAAAAAATACCTAGCATCTTAAAAAAATCATACTAACCCTTTAAAAGCAAAACCATGCAGTATTTAAATGACAGTGTAGATATTCTTCTCTTTGGAAAACGGAAAAGGAAAAAAATGCACCCAAAAGTGTGTTTAGTACAGCGTTTCTCAAAGTGTGGGGTGCGCCCCACTGGTGAGAGATGTGATAGGTGGGTCGCGAATGGACCGATGAACGGGAGATTATTATTATTTTTTAAAATGCATTTTTTGGACCTCAGGCCGGAATCGAACCTGGGTCCTCGCGGGCGGTAGTGTACTGTTACAGCCGGAGACTCGCAACGGCGATGGAATTTCACAGCACCGCTGCGACGGCGGTACCGCTGTGGCGGCGGTACCGGCGCAGCGGTGCTGTGGCCCACCTATGCCAGAGCCAGCGGCCCACCGAAGGCAGCAGTCCACCAACGGCAGAATCTCCTGATGGCCAATCCGAGCCTGCTCACACACACACAACTGAAACCAAAATCATTGTGCAATCATACAATGCATGTATGTGATGACTTTCAAAGAGAAAAGCAAGCACACTCGGAATAAAGTATTATTTTATTTATTTATTTATATTTATTTTCGGATTTCATATCGCATAAACACTATATCCCAAAGAGCATTGCGGCTAAACAATCCAATCACAGAGCTTAAACCATAGCTGAGGACCTTGGGTAATCAGTTCAGTGGCTGTGTATCTGTTTCCGCTTATTTTATTTTGAAATTCAGTTCCTGACGGACACCAAAAAAGCCTGACATTATGGAATCAAACAAATAAATAAAAACAAGGATAATTGTGTGTTATTGTTGAGTAAATAACAGTGTATTATTTAGAAAATATTAACAAATTAGAAGGAAAGAAATATTTAAAAAAATACAGATTTCAGTATTCTGAGGTTCTGAGCCCCATTTATTTTCCTCACTGACAGCAAAAAAAATCCGACATTATACGATTTAAAATGACCATACTGTATATATAAAGAACATATTTTTATTAACCACACAGCTTCCGGTCTTCCAAGACCCGACCGGACAAAAAGAGGTGTTGCAGGCACAAAACACACTACCAATAGAAATACATTAAAATCGTTCTGTGTGACACGAAAAAAAGGGGAAAATCGTGTTGATGAACACGAATCAATAGATTAAATGTCGTGACTATAACACGAAATGCCATGAGACATGGGTTGGTATAATGCTGATTTAAGAATAAAATGACTGACATTTGCAACAAGTTCATATTTAGCTGTTTCTCATAGAAAACATACTTTTGTTGATCACTGGCAAATAATATACAACAAACAATTCATATCTGATCAAATAATTGACTGTACAAGATTTAAAAAATGATTTCATATGCCTATATAATGTTTGCTGTACAAGTAGCTACAAGCCTGTTTGGCTTCAGAGCTCAATCTGACGGGCTCTGCTTGCAAAAAACACAGACAGACAGCTTCTTCAGGCACGATACCAGACCTATTTATCACTCTGACATCCTGGTGGCACATCCGCTTATGAGACGGGTGGAGACAACGTTCCTCAGGAAGACGGAGATGGATCCAAAGCCTGGACAAGCAACATTGTTGTCACCAGGGTGTGACCTGTCGTCTTTCGCCTGCAACCCTGTCAGGGCACTGGAAGTTTGGCCTCTTTCATCTACATTACAGATGTCTTTGTGCAGCCTGGCTCACTCTGATCTCTTCCAAGTACATTTAGAACTTGAGTTCAAGCGTGTAACGCCGGCCAAGGCTTCTGGCTCGGGGAGTACAAATCTAGGGCTTATCTGGTGTGGCCATCCGGCTGGCCAACAGAGGAGTGTTGTTAGCCTTGCTTAGGCTAGACATGCATACAAAGTTATTTAAACTTATCTTAAATGTTTTAATTGTAATCATCCAGGATTATAGAACTGGACATGTGTTGAAAGCTTTACAGCTATGATAAATAGTTCAATTAAAAACTTCCTTGATTTTCCATCCAAAGCTGGATCTGCTCTACTTCCCCTCTTTACATTGTCATGCTACATGTACCCTGGCATGTGCCCAGGAATATACTTTGGTCAGTCACTGAAGCCAAGCACTTCCAATTTTCAGAAACTTAAGATAAGGAAACTTTCAACGGTGAAAAAAATGCCAAGGAGACTTTTTCTTGGCTTGCTTTGAAGATGAAACCGTCAACCTCTACCATAAGTGATAGCCTGTAACCACTTGTGTGAGTTTTCAATAACTGTCTGAGATTAAGAGAAGTCCCTGATAACACGGATAGTGCTGCCAACATAACCACAGTGATCAAATTGGTCGAAAACTGAGAGCATCTGCTGGAACAGTTTGCCGTGTTAACCTATGTTTGCACTTCTGCCAACAACATTGTTCAGTAATTGAATTGACTACAGTTATTGCTACTGTAGCAGTAAAGGCAAAGGTGATACGCCAAAGCGGATAATGTTGCCTTGAGACTGATATCAGTGAATGCTGTGATCCTGCCATGAATCTTAAACAGCTAAAGCAATGGACATTTTTTTTTTTTTCTATACGGGATAAGGTCCAGGAACACAATTTGTTTGCTTATCAGTGGAAACCACCGTTCAATATATGAATACTATGTGACCACTGTGTGCAAAGTCCTTACTTTTGAGTGTGAATACTTCCAATGTCATAAACAAGTACACTTTTAGGTACATATTTTCAAGCTCTGTGTTGATATTACACAGAAATCCAATTCCACAGGGAGCGCTGGCCATTTCAGGCGAGTCAAAATGCTAAATTATAGCTGGGGACCAAGGTCGTATGAGTCAAACATACCCAACCACCCAATTTGATGTCCTGCCACCCCATATGCTGCTTTGTTTTGTGATGGTTTTCACCCTTTCATATTTGACTTTCTACTCCTCTACCCTTTCATCTTGTAAATATGCAGCAGCAACACAGTTCTCACAGAAGCCAATAAAAGCCCCCTGAACATACAATCACACTTTCAAAGCACAACGGAACCACTGTTACATTTTGCCCAACATTGTTTGGGTTCTTCTACAAATAAGCTTTTTGTAATCTATTATTCACTGTGCTATAGCAAGGGTTAGAGGATGGGATATTCTTTTCTTGAGTTCTTCTTTTTATTACATCTTTAATTCTATCAATGAACATTCTTAATAATTACATTTTTTTATAGTAAGCAAAAGGAATTCATTAACATTTTTGCAATAGTCAATGCATATAATCACCTAGTATTATTCAACTACCGGTATATGATTTTAAATCTTATTATACTGTAATGGGATACTGCTTATTTGTGTGCATGGATAACTTAATTCTGTTGGTTTTGGGGCAGAGCCACAAAGCTACTCCCTAACGTTTATTTAGCTGCTTCAAAACACAGTGAGAGACAAAAAAACATTTTACTTTTTGCTGTA